GGAGACTTAACCATTAAAGTTATTCTCTCGAGTCGTTCCTGCAAATTACATTTTCATTTATAGTTTTGTTTCTGTTATATCCAATTAAGTATGTACAAATTAATACAATTAGTTATATTAAATTATAAAATAATTAACAAACGCATTAACTACTGCTCTAGACAAACTGATGTGGCAGCTTTTTCGTAAATAATTAATTGCGTTTTTTACAAACATCAAATATTCAATTTTAACGCCGTAACAATGTAAATAATAAAAAAATTGTTAAAACCATCTTATAACTTGATTTTAAGCCAATAATATTATAATTTTGCAAATATAAACATAAATTGTAATTGTGTAATTGAGCGTATCTTGACCTAGTGGTATTTTTTTTTCAAAAATTAAAAATAATTAATAAATTAAAAATAACATTTTACAAGCTTAAAGTGTAAGTTATGTTATTCTTCACAAATAGTGACAGTTTTCAATCCAAGACTGGAATTTCATTTTCCTATTAGATTTCTATTGATTCCAATAATGAAATCATAGGGATGCATCCTAATTGGATCTGTTTCGGTAGGATAGGATGATCCTTTATTTAACGCAATTGCTATTGACAGTTAATTATGCAGGTTACAACAAGTCTAACAACGTCTTTCTATTTTAATTAAACTACAAACAAACAAAAGATAAGTGAGGCATTTGTCATTTAGTTTTCAAAAATTCAAATAGCCATGAACTTACTTTGCCTCGTAAAATTGTTTTTAAATCAATCATCATTCTTAACGAATAATAATTTATGGATCGCTGCATTGCGGGTAGTTTGTTTACCAACAGCATTCTCAAAGGCATCCAACTTTTTAGCTTTAACTCATTAATATTTAATAAAGGGTAAATATTTAGGCTCTAGAATATCTCTAGTCTAGGTCAGTATTAAGTCAATATTAAAGAAGATATTATTTTCTTGAAAAATTTCCTAAGTGATTATTTGTTAGAATATTGTCTTACAAAACATTGATCTAGACCTTCAGTTGTCGTATTGATGATTGTAGCATAGGATTTATTTTTAGAAATAAAATTACCGTCTCACACTAACATGCCATCTCGCAATCTGGTTTGTGTAAAGTAAAACACCTAGGGTTAGTGCTATCGAAAGGATACTTGTAAAAATCACCATCAAAAAATAAATATGTTTCACTAATACCACTATACCAAAATTATGCAAGCTGGATTTCAGTATTAAACTGAGCTACATAATCATGTTTTTAAATTGCTCGGGGAATCTCATCGTTTGTGCTTTTATTTTTATGAGAGGTCACACATTTGCATTTTAATAGTTGGCTAAATACATAGGTATTATGTGCTTGTAATATTATACAGGGTGATTCTTAAATAGACCGACAAAATTTTATCCTTGGTAGTACCGAATGAGAACATGCTGGAAAAAATATTTAAAAAATTCTTTGTTTAACCGTTCTCCAAATAAAATTTATTAAAGTTATTTTCGCGGTAAACAGTATTAGCACAGGTAGTGGAAACCATGGTATTAATTTGATGAAAATGTACTTAATCATTGTAACAATTCATAAACGCCGTAAGTGGTACGGATCAAGGGGATTTTGCCCCTAAAAGATATAAACGAGGGAAGGGTACAGTTTGTCTCCATTTATTTTTGAAAATCTGTGATGAAATTTTGTCGGTCTATTTAAGAATTACTGTACATATTATTGTGCGTATAGTAAATTACAGACGCTATAAAATGTCTTCATGGAACCGTCTGTTTTTTTTTATAATACTTCGTAAAAATAAATATTTTAACAATATATTCAGATCAATATGAAGTAATAACTAATAATCAAATCTTCATCTTCATAATACTTCGTAGAAATAAATATTTTAACAATATATTCAGATCAATATGAAGTAATAACTAATAATCAAATCTTCATCAACACAAAATAGCAAAATGATTACATACAAATAAATTTTGCATAAAACTTAATTATTCATTTACTGTTCGTAACCTTATACAGAGTGTCTCCAGAGAAGAATTCCAAGTAAGATAAGATGCCAGAAACATGGAAAAAAACTGTTTAAAAAAATCTGTCAAAAAATTTCGACAGTTGATGTCTTTAGTACAGGATTTAATAAGATTAAGTAGTTTTCCTTTAAAAAAATTACTACTCCAGAAGCTGCATCGTACCTATGACCATGAGATCCACCAACAATGGAACTCTGTTCTGTTCTGTTCGACATTTATTTGTCTGTTTTGTTTATTTTATGTTTACCTACATTGCAGGTATGAAACGACCTACTGATGACCTAAATGCAATTTAGAATATTTAAAAGTTTTTTTGTGTTTATTTGGTTTAACAGAAATAAAAAGTCTAGTCGCTTTACTTGTGCTCTCGAGCTTTCCGCATTTTAATTTTTAATATTCTGCAAGCTAAGCTAAGGCAAACAGAGGGGTGTTAATTTGTGTGTGCCTGAAAAGTGTCTTATCTGTATAGTAAATGTAAAACTGCAGTCACTGCAGCCAGTATGACATGAACTTTCGGAAACACGTAGGTATGTAATACATAAGAATATTTTAATTTAGATAGTTACTATGTTATTAAGTATAATATTAAATCTCAAGGTAGCTTATTCGGTACTTGTTTGAATGAATTGAAGGAAATGTTCTACAACAAATTGTTCAAAATAAACCACAACAAAATTAGTTGTAGATTAGAACATTTGAGCGGCCAATAACTAAAAAAACAATGGCTAAAAAATGCTATTTTATGATATTCGACCGAGTATTCGAGGTGTAGCAATCCCAAAGCTAAGTGGACTTTGCATTTTTACTTCTTGCCATAAACCCTACTGCCATATTATAAACAATGCCCTTATTGTAATGAAATTATTATTGTAAATCGGTCTTTGGAATTTATATAAATGCATAATTTTTGAAAATTATAATTCTAAATAAACGAAAGATTCGTGTCTGTTTTCAGTAATCTCAGTTATGTTTATAGTAGTGTACTGCAAGGAATTGTAAAGTTAAATCTATTAATCATTGCGCTTGTTATATATTTTTTACATTTGCAAACATAAAAATTAAAACTTAAAAATTAAAAAATTATTTATCAAAAATCTTACTAAATAACTCATCAAAGTTAGGTGTTATCGTCTAAACTTTTCAATTTCTTATTGAACAAGCTGAAATTGAAATGTTTAGTTTACAGGACTGGTGAATAGATTTTCCTTTTTCCAGCTAACAAAAGAATGTTGCTATTATAATTTTGTTCGTGTTAGTGAACCGTCCATTATTGTAATTTACTTCAACAACAAGACGCCCGCCCTAGGGATTCTGAAATTATTAATTACAACCTATTCATGGCTTAATGCCTCGGCTTGATCTAATTGAGTTTCTAAAGCCAGCACAACATGCGTTTGCTTAGAAAATTTGAGAATAAAAAGGTTTAAAATAGGTCATATCTAGTTATTTTGATTTTTCTTTATTCTAGTTTTGCTTGTATACGATCACATTTATTCCTAAACTGTTCTTATTACCTACGTACGTACGTTTTTGTTTACTTTTCAACTGATCAATTTGCATAACAACGAGGTTGTGGCATCTCTACAATGAGCATATTTTATTCAACAATAGGGCATATTCAGCGAGATTCCTTCGCAAAAGCTTTCCCACCTCGAGTGGCTTTTTCTGCTCCCGAATAAAGCTTCTTATTTACAAACTTTGCAGTGCACGACAGCTAGATATCTTTAATTGTAAATAATAATTGAATGAACGAGCTAATATGCATTTAAAAAGTTCACATATAATTCTATTTTTTTGTCAACTTGGAGAGTTAGTAAGCTACAATACTTATAAAAATCTCACGATCTTAGTGTGAGACCCATAAAGATAATAATTTATTTAGCCACGCTTGTTATTTTAGCTTACTTTATGAGAAGGGTCATTTGCTTAACCTCATAGCTTAAATAAAAAATGTGAATACCACATAAAAGACACTTTTACCTTAAAAGCTTTGTGCAAATTGAAGGTTAGTAGAGCAATATCATCTACTTCACAACACAAGTAAAAGTGCATTGTGATACGCCTGTCGACTGACCTACTTTTAGGACTTCTACCCTTCAAGGGTATCTAAAAATAGTTCGACCCTCATGTAAACTCATTTTATGATATGATATGACAAATAATGTATAGATCGAACTAAGTTTCTTAGATGAATATGATTGTTTACACGTTGGTGAGCGTATATTTGGAAATTGATTTAATATTATTAGTTAATATAATTAGTTAATAATATTGATATTAACTACTTTTTAATAAATATTCTGATTATCCTATCTTTAGTTAAATCTTTAAAACGTTAAGGTTTACATACAAGTATCTTTTATACATATAAAGCAAACCGCCATACGTCCACCGATGAAAAAAAAAGTTTAAACAATTTTTTCCTATCTTTATTTGTTAAAGATTATTTATCTCAAGACTCGCCCAATACGTTGTTTTAAAAACACAAACAAATACAAATATGTACACGTAAACACAAATAGAACATAGATAAAATTATGTAAATTTTATTTTGTTTCCAATGGCAGAATAAAATTCAATTCTTTTCTTTTAGTTTTACACTACCGATACCGCCAAGAAAAATACGAGTATGTGTTGTGCAAATTTAACATCATTGATTCTCTACTTTTTTATAGGTTTATAGAATTTTAAACAACAAGGTTTACTTATTAAGTAAATAAATGTTGCTATTGTCCAGAAAGAATAATTTTTTCAATGTTTTTATATCTATATATTTCTAAAAAAGTGGTAGGTAATTAAATTAAAAAAAATGTTCATTGCTTAAGGAGAAGGGTATTCCACACCAATTATGATAATTCGAAGCACACTGCCTCAACGCAATTTTACCATTGACCTAAATTTTTAATTCCATACACTACATTATTGGTCTGGTAACAAACTTTTAAAATTCAAGCATTTTCAGCACTTTGTGTTTCAGAAACCATTACGAGAGCTGGGCCTAAAGCGTTTATGGACAGCAGTCAAGTCAACAAACGATAACAGCGCAGGACTACAGGACGAACAGGGTTTAGAATCTAGTACAGAAGAAGCGAAACCAGGTCCTAACTGCTCACTTCCTTTATTGCAGGTAATAATAATAATTTTACTGTTTTATGTAAAGTTAGCTGAAAAGGATGGTAATATTTTGTTTGTTATGTGGAAAAAGTAAGACAAAGACGTTTTTTAATTTTTTTTCAATTTTTTAACCCATCAATGTTAAACCGCTTATTAATAAATTAGTTGTGGTTATTTTTATTCTGGGTTTAAATGTTTCCATTACGCTAGTAATTTTGGAAAGTTTTTATGGGCAATAAAACTTATTTTTATCCGATGAAAAATGAAGCTCATTTTATTTTACCTGTTTGAAATGACTTTAGGTTTAGGAATAGACATTTTGATGGTCAAATGGAATATTTTTGTTTTAACGGCCAAGTCAAAAATTCTTAATAATAAAATAAAACCGCGTTTTCAAATAAAATTGTCAGTTGCTTGCGAATATGGGACGAAGGAAATGCAAATGATAGCATTTCTTGTTTTGAGAAAGTGTTGACTGCTATGAGAGATATTTATGAACTCCATCCCATCAATCCAGGTTTGGCCGAGTGCTGATTCTCCTCGGGGTGAAGCAGACGGACAAAGTTTTATTTTCCCAGCTTGCGCCGAGGATGCTACTTCTCAACACTCCACCTGCTTCGACATCAATCATCACAATGATTCTGGCATTGAATCCACACAGGTAAAGTAACTCTTATTTCTTCGTAAAAGGCAATATTTTAAAATTCACTTGAAACGGTATTTTTTATTTATTGCTGGAGTTATATGTATTGAACACTTTTTTTACCAACAATTTACGAACCTTTTCGCATGATCAAATAGCTTTCTATTTGAAACCCAGAACTGTAAATCTAATTTCCCCAAAATGGAACCCGCATCTCGTGCTTGTAGGTTCAAATACAATTTTTACAAATTGATTCTTCTGTTCTTTTTACAGCAAGACCTTTCTTGTTTTATAATTTAGTTAATTTGACATCTTTCACTTGTTTCTGGAGCAATATTCATTATAGCACCCGGTAAATGATACAAAAAGAATTATCACCTCAGGATTAATGATATGATCCATCATCAAAAATTGAAAAAAAAATCGAAAGTGTTATAACAGAGTGAATGCATTCTGCCCGATCTGTTTCTACTATTTAATTGGAAACAAAACAACCGATTTGGAAATGCTTTGTAATAAATTGCGGATCACTGAATTATACTGACCATCTACATTTCTTACCTCTGTTCAAAGCTAACCATTGTTTTTACCGTTTTTTTTATATTTTTGAAACGTTTTGTTGTTAGTTTTGAAATAAAATACACTACACAAAACTCAAGAATTGTTTAAATTAATACAATCTGAGACAATCTTTAAAATACAATTTTTCTTGAGGAGGCATTGTTTCTTTTGTCTCTCTTGACCAGTTATAGTATACTCATAGTAGCAAGTATGTAGGTAATTAGTAATACCAAAGACAGAGATTTAGCCTTTTATTTTATGTCTTATAACTTATAACTAATTAAATGATTGGTTAAAACTTTTTCAATTTGAACTTTTTGTTATAGGTTTCACCCTCACCAATCCCATGTGCCTCATCATCTCCCATCAATTCACCCACCCCCAGTATACGACGACCAAGCAGCGCTCTCCTCCATCCCGACCACGCCAGACTCCTCCGTCTCTACCCCATGTCATCCCCTGAACAAACCTCATTGGAGGACGTCTCCGATTCCCACAACCACGTGATATCGGCTTCCTCTTCAACCACGTCGTCGTTAACCTCCGTCGCCGCCGCCGTTTCAGGTGGTTGCGGCTCTCGAACCAGCGATTCTGTTGACAGCCGAAGAAGATCCTCCACCATGACGGCTCGCTACTCTCTCTTCGACGCCCTTGACCTCGAATATGCACTCTTGAGGGCGGCTGCGAGAGGCAGTGTCGGCCCTTACTCCCTTAGCGAGAGCCTTCATAAGCTCACCTTCACACAGAGCCTCGCTTTTCCCGCACTGGCTCGAGGACTAACCGGTAAAAGAAGGCGCTCCCAACAAAATAACAACACTCGGCCATTAGATCCGTCTGAAAGCGGACTGAACGCCTTCGCCAAAGTAGTGACAGCGCTCGTCCTCGTACTTGTTAGTGTTTTAGTGTTTGCCGTTGTTTACAAGTTTGTGAAGACGTGAGGATTACTTTTGGCTCCTGGAGGAGCAAGAAACGCAAGGTTCACTTTGGCGAGAAACACGTCTGGCTCGTCGGGATATCGGAATGCTGGCGATGTTACGTGAAAGTGAGGGCCCGCCAGGAATATTTGTTCAAACATATGAAACTGTGTAGTTTCAAAAGGAATTGATCGTAGTTATGTAGAATAGGAAGAGGCTTAAAGCATATGAAAAGTCTATGAATTATTTATGATAAATAGTCCGATATGACGCTTCGTCATATGATCGAATGCTTTTTACAATATTGAAAATTAAAAGAGAATTTATGTTTAGGATTTTGTTCAACTCCAAAGAGTTTTTGAAATTTTTGTAAGATTTGTGTATTGTCATTCAGCTGTTCATAAATTTATCAATCGGTGGTGAAACTATACTATATATATGTAATGTAACTTAGAAATATTACGAAAATGTGTAAGTTAAATTAAATTATTAAGAGGTCTGTTTGAGAAGGCATTGGTGCATTGTGCCTTAATACAAATAACACAAATTGAACTTTTCAGCTAGAACTAAATTATTTACAAACGAAATGTTGATTTTATCCTTGAACTTTAAACAATTTATTAGATACTCGTAATGTCATCATCAGACCCTTTCAGTTTCCGATGTTGAACATTTCCAAAAAATTATACTTACTTCGAGACGATGCCATAACATGGTAGCATACAGAAAACAAACAGAGCCGCATATTTATTGCGTTCGAAATGCTTTATTTGACTCCAAATTAATTAATTTTTAATAATCAATATAAATCAAAAATATGATCTTTTTTTGTTTATGATTGCTTCCATTGTTTATTAGACTCCACCATCCTCTATTGTTATGTTATATTTCCTGAAACTCCTAATGAATGAATGGCTGAATGAATAGGATGTCACTTTGCACATTTTGAGAAATAAATTTACTTAATAAGTCCATTATTTTGTATGTATATTCATTTAAAAATTCTTTTATTAGTGAACTGTGGTTGCAAATTAGCTTACTTCTAATGATTAATAAGTAACAGAGAAAATTTGGCCTTATAATGAATAAATCCAATTATTGTTAGGTAAAGTAAAATTATCTCTATCTGTCCACTTTGTAATGTATTTTTTGTCGCACGTTTTGTAACAAAATTTGATTTGGACATCATTTCGCATTTAAAATATTTTACCTCTATAGTTAATTTGTGTGTTTAAAAGAGCAGAAATTGCATTATTGATATTACGTTTAATACTCGTAGTGGATAGATAATTGTAAAATTACTTGTGCTTTCCTGTACAACATGCTACAGTTTGTATCATTGTTTGGAACATATTATACGTATTATTTAGGGAACAACCCCCAGAACTCTTTTAAAGTTTTTTTCGGACACTGTATAATTTAAAACTGCGTAAACCTATTCCTGCTTGCTTTTAATTAACACGTTTTAATCTTTTCTATTTTTAATGTGCTTTAATTAAAGACTAATGATTCATCCTCAAATTCTTTTACGTTTCCGCTACAAGCTTAATAAACCTCACTTTATTTAAGTTAACGAGAAGTAAATATTTAGCGGTTAAACGGCCTTGACTTTAGAAATTGCCAATGTTCATTTGTATCCTTCTTTAGAATAATATTTTTCAATAACAGAAAGTCCAAGGTTTACTTGTAAAATCTAAATACTTATTATACCTGTTGTTTAATAACTTCCATAGAAGGAAGCAAGAGTTGTGGGAAACATGGTTTTATATTTTATATAAAAATATTTTAAGTACGAGTATGTTCATTTTTTTATTTAGAAATGAAGTAACCTTGTGATTACAATGGCTTTATATTTTTATAAAGTAATGTTACACTCCTTGGTATATATCATTTTAAAATACTCTGTTAGATGAATAAAATAATCTTCTATTAATTACAGAAATAAGTATATAATATACAAACTGCGACATTTTTTTAACTCTAAACATATTTTCTACGTTCAGTTTAAAAGATCAATGCATTTTCTATTTTACAATGCAAGCAATTGATTAACTATGGACTATGTTTAGAGGTAAAAGAAATGTCCAGGTATAATAATATAACATAAAAAAAATATATTAATTAAGGGTTTTAATAGTAAAAAGTTTTTCGAATGGCCTAAATTTTTATATCAGTGTATTAAAAATGGCAACGTCAACAGTGTATGTACTGTAAAACTTTCTACAACGGAGCAATTTTGTAATAAATTATATATATACCCATGTATTATTAATTATATAACTTTTATATTTGATGCTTCCAAAATATATAAATCTCGTTACATTCGAAACGGAAATGTGTTGTTATTAGAGTTGGTGTTTTGGAATTGGTTCAGAATTATACTAATCAATCATCAATATCTTTTTTCAAGGTCCGATTGGCACTTAAACGTAAACAAATGGTAGTATAAGAAAAACCCAAAGGTAGTGGCAATTTATACTACTTTGTTTATAGTAGTTATTTTTGTATTAAGTGTGCTAAATGGTTGTTTTTAACGCTATCTGTATAAGACTGAAGGTCAAGACAAAAAATCACTACAATATTTAATACAGTTATTTAAACTACTTCAAAATTTACTTGTCATGTTTCTGTCAGTGCGTGAAATACCGTCAGTGGGTGAAATGAGTATTTGAAGCACTGTTATGAATTTTGTGCCCTTAACAAAAAATGCCTAACTTTGGGTGTTATAGAATTTTTTAATTTTTTATATTACGAGATGTTTACATTTGGGAACCAATCGGATATAATTATTATTTTGTATATTTTTATAAAAATTAAAATTCACTTTAACTGATAATTGTATTTTCAAAATACAAATAATAACTTACATAAGCATGTGTACTTATATATTTAGATAAGGCAATTGAAAGAAATATTTATTCTTGTTACATGACAATCAATTATTATTACATGTTATACCTACTGTATTCTGCACAAACAATAAAATAGAATAAAAGCTTGTGAATACTAAAGAATTTTTCCTTTATACCATAATTCTCCTTTGTTACTACAGTGAAACTTAATTTTTTTGTCGAAGAAATCAAATTAAACCTAACAAAACAATACAACAGCATTAAAAGCTACATTTAAGAATAGAGAAAAAAATATTTTTACATACCTAATATTATAAGATTACTTACTTATTTTTAAATTTCAAATAGGTAGATTAAATAAAAAATTGCTTGTAGAAACAAAAAATTAAAATATTGCACTTGGTTACAAAAAATTGGTTAAAAAGTTGTCCATTGTCAAAAAAATTGATATTTAGGTGTAATTCTTAAATGGTAATTAAAACACCACAACTGCCTATTGTAAAGTTTATTTTTAATAATTACTAAACATTGTTACACATTCTCCTAACATTTGAAATAGTAATATCGAAAATAAATTAACAATTTAAATAATAAATGATTATTTACAACTCAAAGCAATTGCTTCTTTTAAAAATTATCAAGCTCCTACTTGATCCCGTTCTTAAAATTCATACAATATACCTAGTAGAAGAATATTTTGAGCTCGTTTTGTAATTCTAATATTTAAGATTTTCACATTTCACAGAAATTACCCTTTGGAAGTTAATTAATTTGTACTTAATTATAAAACAATTTCGAAGTACAACTTAGGCATTTGCTTTTAAAATGAGTCAGTAGTTACAATAACAACTTTATAACACCACTCAAAAAAGGACAAGATTTCAATCTTTATTATTTTAAGTAACTAATGCTCGTTTTTGTGCTTTATGATCTCGCCCTTTTTCTAAAAAGGATTGTAGCTACAACTACAATAACACAATTGTCTAATCTAACCAAATTCTGAATAGATATGTACGTTTGTCCTAGAAAATAATAATCAATAATAGCACGCTAGCAGAAGAATAAATTTTACAAAAGAGTTCTACATCTACAATGGTACTCTGTTTAAATGTTTTATTCGTTATTATTTACGAGTACAAATATTTTTAATTCTGATTGTGTATACTTAAATTAAACATGTAGGTCTTGATCTATCGATATCTAAACATCACTTCGAAACCTATTACAAGAATGATTGCTCGAAGTACAAAAATGATTTAAAAATGACAGCCTACAAATAATCAGTGCTTTTTCTATTCACTACCTCATTAACATTGAAGCAGCGGTTCCGCTTCTTTAGTACTAAAATTCTGATCTGTGTCCGTTGTGAAAACTTCGTCTTCGATTTTCTGGTCGGTACATTCGATTACTGTTTTATCCTCGGATTTGGACGTGGGACTATCATGTGATTCGTCCTCTTCGTTTACAGTTTCCATTGCAGTGACACCTATGATTGGAGAGACCGGAGCCGTCGGAGGGGTGATTTTCCCGGCTTTTCCGAGTAAGTAGTAGGTCATCAGTTGGCCTTTTCCCTTCACTGCCACTAGGCCGCGTTGCTCGAATTGGTAACCGAAGTGCTGAAGGATTTCGCACGTCTCTTCAGTCACCTAATCGATAACAATAACGAGGATAATTAGCAACCACTTGAGTTTCTACTTCCGTTTAAAGAATTACAAGTGTTTTATGTTTAATCATTTACTCTAAAGTGGGGCATTTATCAAAAGGGTGACGCGAAAATATTGACTTTGTTAAACTGTCTAATACAAATTGGATTTTAACAATTTCATTCTACATTATACTATAATGGTTGAATTTTACTTTTTTGAAAAATAGTTACAACGGGAAATCTAATAAAACTGTGTTTTTTAAATCAATTAAAAGTTAAGTAAAAAAGTAGGTATAAAAAATTTGTTTTAAATTTTCGTATAAAGGGTTTCTTGAAGAACACATGTTTAGCCTAAAAATTATACCATCTATCAAATATATTTAGTTTGTTTTTAAAAACTGCTTTCGTGATAAATACTCTTAGAGTATCCAATATGCGTCAATTCCTTTTTCAACTTTTTGCAATTGAAAAAAAAACTAATTTGAAAAGATATTAGTTTCTAGTCAAGTTGTCGACTAGTGTACAATTCTCGTTTTAAATTTATTGATTTTTTCTTAACCTGGATACATCCAGCTTTTCCGGTGCTTTCCATCCTGGAAGCTACATTGACTGTATTGCCCCAGATGTCGTAATGAGGTTTCCTAGCTCCGATTACTCCTGCAGTAATAGGCCCATGGTTGATACCTAATTTTAAAACAAAATGATTAAAACTTTGTTCGTTGATACCCTGCAAGGCCTTCTTTAACTCAAGTGCGAATTCAACCAGGAGGGCAAGATGCGCCCATCGCACGGTTATGGGGTCGTCAGGCTAAAAATGTATTGTTTTGTAACCATTCGAAATTAAAATTGCAATAATTCTACTTTAACTTGCCGAGTCGGATTTAGGCCGCTTGCTGCCATGTACGTAGAACCGATTGTCTTAATTTTTATTATGTCTTGAAATTGAGGTAGCTCTAAAAGCTGAAAAGAAAGTATTAAGTGTTTTGAGGTGTCAGATGGGTGAGAGGCTTACAGCATCGAAATCGGAAATGACTTCGTTCAGAAATCGCAGACATTCTAAGCCTTGATTGTTCACGGTCTCCTCTGAATAGAAGTCTAAAAAATATTATTTAGAAGACAAATGCCTTTTCACTGTTACGATATTAGAATCATTGATTTATTTAATTGTTTATTTCAAACTAATTTTTTTATTGCATATTTTTACAAAGGAAAGGAAGTAGATACATACTTCATTTTAAAAGCTTTTTATATTTTCCAAATCACGGCACATTAAACGTAAATTTTGTATGGCAAGAAAATGTGCTTCTTGTAGTAACACATCAGTGATTTTACATTTCAGACGCAACAAAATAACCAAAATACAAAACAAGGAATGTCTAACTTTTTTAATCGATATTCAATTAGCTACTTCTTGTCCAAATATTTACTTATTTTGCATATAGATTTTCAAATTAAAAATTATTCTAAAAATTTAAAAGCATCAAAAGTTAATTTCATAAGCTGCTTATCTTCTAACGCTACTATTTCGTTTACATTGCAATTTGTTTTTTGTTGCGAACTATACAAGCAAAAGCGCCTTTGTATCTCCAATACAGCAAATGCAGTTCCTAGATTGGATTTACAATTTTATTACTTTTACAATTTTAAAAGACTGGTTTTTATATAAGTGCAGACGGTCTGTCCTACAATGAAAATACTTTCATATAAATGTAACATGTGTTACATGCGTTTTACCCAACTCATAGATATGCATTTAAATAATATACTTGTATGTACGAGTATATAATAAAGACATTTAAGTAACATTGAAGTAGTGTATGCTACAATTTGTCATAAAACTCATATTCAGTAGATTTTGCAAAAGAAAATAAACTCGTATAGATGGAATACTTTTCGCTTCATTGAACATGAAAAGAAGTTTTTTTAAAAAACGACACACATAAGATAACGTTTAAAAGCTTTTTTTTTTTGAAAAATAACAAATAAAAAAATTACTTACCAGAAAAGTTGGGCATCGACGCAAAAAGCACTCCAATCTCTGCGTAGCTTTGCGAGTAAAGTTCATCGTGTTGTCTCTTCCTGTTTCCCATAAAATGAGCCGCTACATGAGGCGGAAGGATATTATACACTAGAGCTTCGTTTCTTCTTCTCATATCTTCAGCAAAATCCCGTTGCTCTTCCACCTCGCATCGCCATAAGAACAAAACTCTCGCCACCTGCTCCATCTACCAGAACAAAACTAATATCAATTCAAACACAACTCTACCAACTTACATGTCTCGCAAGGAAAGCCAAAGCGAGCGTGGCAATGAGCAACAATGCTGAAAGCGTGTATTTACCCTTAGTTAAACTGAAAGGCAATTAGGTCACTGTAAATTATTCAGAAACGTGGAGTCTACCTTTTCCAGTTTTTACGTGACTCCTCACATTCGAGAACTAATTCTAAGACGAAAATATTTACGAGGCATTGAGCCAAAGCTATGATAAACAGAAACAGAGCCTTCCAGAGATATGAGAGGCAGGCTGGAAGAGAGGAAGCGATCAAAATTAGAACGGCGAAATAACTGAAATAGGAGGGATAGAGACATGACGAATTTATATCGTCAGTGAACGTGCAATTATCGTTTGAATGGAACTGAACACAAGAAATCTGAAAATAAAGCTATCAAAGTATTTCTCTTGAAGGAATCCGATTCGACTCACTGTATCTATTAGATTGACCGTTCCTAAAAGAAAGACACAAATTGACGACAGAATTCGTCGAACTGTTACTGAATCCTTAAAAGCGTTCCAACATTTCAGCTAAAATAATAATTTTTTTCAACTCATCACTTCCTAAAAATTTACCTACCGGCAAAAATTCATCGCAAATAAGGATGGATACAAGAACTATTATTATTACATTTTCTGTACAATACGATATATTGATTGACATGTCCCTGAAAGTATGGATTATCCGTCATAGAAGTTTTTGGATCAGAAACTAAACATTTACCTTGGTAAGACAGTGAAAACCGTTAAGCCAATGGACAGACGAACGACCAGGAACATTAGCAGTGTTATACTTGAAAATGTCTCGACTTGTTGTTGATATAACTTTTCCTTCTTTTCGTCCACAAAATTAAGAGTTAAGCATTTTGTATTTTTAGACAACTCTCTTTGTAAGAAAATAAAATGGTTTTAAGCACTTAAAGCGATTTCTTATAAAATACTCACTTATGACCATCTCTGTTAACTAGTTCTGTTCTTAATCGGATTTTAAAATCTCTGGAGTCTTCCCGTGATCTCTTTTGGTTTCCATCCTGAAATTAAAAAACTCATTTTCACCAAGACAAATTAAATTAAATGTACTGATTCATTAAATTTTAATTATTCAATAAGTAACGCCCCCATATTTTACTGTATGAATATATAACGAAAGAGACCATGTATTCAATGTGGGAGCTTTAGAATATTAATTTCAGGTTGTTACATTTTCCAGTCTTATTAAATGGTAT